ACCGGTCCCAAGGACAGGGTCTGGACTTCTGGGGACGCCGTCCTGAAAAAATCCGGACGTCGCATGTCTGGGGTTCGAGGTTGTCACGAGTGGGCGCTGGCAGAGTCAGGATAAGGCGCCATGCGCGAGCGGCCAGGCGATTATTGTCAAGCGAGATAGGAGTCGATCGGGGTGTTGGGTCGGATCAGGCATTTCCTCCCGAGGTCGGTCGAGACGACAGCGGGAAGTTCGTGTGGCGATCGTCGTGGAGGACGCTGGTCCGTCGCTTGACCACCACCACTACCACCATGCTCTTCCCCCCCCCCACCTGGATGGGGCGTTTTTAAGCGCTGCCTCTGTTGTCCCGAGGTCTATAGCTTAGGTAGGCGCTCAAGCCGCTGTTGACAACTCTCCAGCGATACCAACTAGTGGGCGCAGATCTCGTGAGTAAAGAGTGACGTGGCGCGCAGCAAAAAGGCCCATTGTCACACGCGGCGCGTCAGCAGCGTATCAGCAAAGAGTGAGAGCAGTACTCTCGATATGCCACTGGCAGGCGCTGCCATCCCCTGTTTAAAGTCGAAGAAAGAAACGCGATGATGATGACCAAGATGTCGCGGGATCGCGCCGACGCGGGTCTTTGTCAGGGTTCATGCCGGCCGTCGCCGGTTCGCGAGGATACGCGAATTGAACGGGAACCAAGATGGGCGGTGACCAAGATCGACACCGACATTTCCGTGTTCAGTCTTGGTCGTGGTCACCGTCTTCTTTCCCTCCAGAGAAGCAGATTTCGTCCGCCATCACCCAATCGGGGGGGAGGGGCACTCGGCGATGTGCAGGCGCAAGCCGAACCTGCACACGAGCGCGCGGTGTGGGGTCGAAGGCAGGAGGAGGAGGAGGAGGAGGAGGAGGAGGAGGAGGAGGAAGAGGAAGAGGAGGAGGAGGAGGAGGAGGAGCAGGAGCAGGAGCAGGAGCAGGAGGAGGAGGAGGAGGAGGGGTCCTCCAACCGTCGTGCTTACTGTTGACCACCCGTCGTGCAGCACCCCCAGAGGCGGCCGCCCTTGGGGGGGGAAGGGCAGCGTCCGACCCAGGGCTCTGATGCCTACAGCTCGAGCCCGAGGAGGAGGAGGAGGAGGAGAAGGAGGAGGAGGAGGGGGGAGGAGGGGGAGGAGGAGGAGAGGAGGAGGAGGAGGAGGAGGAGGAGGAGGAGGAGGAGGAGGAGGAGGAGGAGGCGGAGGAGGAGAGGAGGAGGGGGAGGAGGAGGAGGAGGAAGGAGGGATGAGGGGAGAGGAGGAGGAGGAGGAGGAGGAGGAGGGGGAGGGGAGGGGGAGGAGGAGGAGGAGGAGGAGGAGGAGGAAGGAGGAGGAGGAGGAGGAGGAGGAGGATGAGGAGGAGGGAGGAGGAGGAGGAGAGGAGAGAGGAGGGAGAGGAGGAGGAGGAGGAGGAGGTAGGAGGAGAGGAGGAGGAGGAGAGGAGGAGGAGTAGGAGGAGGGAGAGGAGGAGGAGGAGGAGGAGGAGGAGGAGGAGGAGGAGGAACGCTGCCAGCTTTCTGGCAACATCTTCTCAGATGGGTCAGCCTCCAACCCAACCCAGCTCCTCCTCTCGAGGACGGGTTGGGGGCTGGCCCGAGTGGATGATGTTGGCAATTTCATTGCGGACTGCTATGGTGCAGTTCCTCTTAAGATTGTGCCTGTGCAGTCGGCCCACGATGGAGAAGACCATGCAAGATACATGGCAGCAGTTGGAGGCTGTGTCCAAGCGTTTGGTGCGACATTTCATATCGACTGCAAGGCCACCCTTGCTTGCTTGCAGGACCCTGTATTCGCTCAAAGCAGCTCCTGCTCCAGGTCACGCTTGGGTCTAGACGTTTTCAAGTGTTTGACGACCTAGCCGCTCCCTCGGTCGAAGTCAAGGCCCACGTGGAGTGATGTCGCCCATGGGTGGAGCAGCCAGCTACACAAACTGGGGTCTGATCGTGTCGGTCGCCTGGCCAAGCTCGGAGCCCAGTGCCACCGTCGTCAACGGCACAGACAGTCAGGGTTTGCAGGGTTTCTAGCCCTATCCCTCGACGGTCGCCCGCCGTCGACAGCGGAACAGGGCAGGTCAGGGCCTTTTTTTCCCATCGTGGGCCCCTCAGCACGACCCTCAGGCGGCCCCGCCCCGCCTCTCCCTTTGACCTCCAGGCCCCTGTGCTCTCGTCTGGCGCCTTCCTCCTTCCCTTCGTGGGCGTGGGTTGACCTGGGGGGGGTCGTCGCCGTCCGCGTCGTCGGGTTAGGGGGGGCTGCGAGTCCTTGGGCGGCGGAGCGTTGGAGCCTGGCGGAGTCGGCCGTGCGCTTGGGCCTGACGCTCGAGCTGCTGGAGACCAGCGCCGCACGTGTCGAGAGGGAGCAGGCCCTGGATTGATCGTTTGTGTTTCGTTTCGCCTCGCGGGTCGTCGCAGCGCCGTCGCTCCTCGAGAGTGCTGCCCTCGCTGGCCTTCGCTGCCGCTGCTCACTGTCATCGGCATCTGCCGCACGGGGAAGTAGAACATGGAGGAGGAGGAGGAGGAGGAGGAGGAGGAGGAGGAGGAGCAGGAGCAGGAGCAGGAGGAGCAGGAGGAGCAGGAGGAGCAGGAGGAGGAGGAGGAGGAGGAGGAGGAGGACAGGGGGAAAAGGGTGCGGAGAAGGGGGTCCCCTCGCCGCCACGGCCGGACGCGGCTCGAAAAACTGGCCAGCCGCGATCCCAGGCGGGGTCTGGGGACCAATTTTGATCGGGTTTGCTTTCGTTCCCCCGGTGACCGATGTCCTCAGCGCCGATCCAGCGCAGACCCCCCAGTCGCTTCCAGGGTCAGCTTGCACAATGATCGATCACCTCTAGGGTGAGGCCGTGCTGCCTCTATGGCGAAAGCCTGACCTGGGGAGCCGGAGGCGTCTGGGAGGCAAGGGATCGAAGGGGAAAGCTTGTGCCAGGGGGGTGCTCGCACACACGGAGTGGGGTCACACCCTCCCGGGGCCACCCACTCCACCCGACGGGGGAGGGATCAAAGGGAAGGGGTTTCCCTTCGACTCGATGATGCCGCTGCTCGATTTCTCTTGGGCTGGAACAGGAGGGCCCACGGACAGGGACATGGGGGGAGCAGTGACGGCGACAACGACGTCGACGACGACGACGACGACGACGACTCCAAAGGTCAGCCTCTCACACACGCCGACAAGGTCGACGGATAATGCAAAAATAGTGTCAGTCACGACCAGACGTGCAGAGTGTGACAGAGCATGTACATCAATGTCCACTGTCGCGTTCTGTAGCTCAATGCGCCACCTTCGAGGTGCCGCTGCGCGACGGCCGCGACGATCATTCGACCAAGCCTTGGAGGTGCAGCGATATGCCTCCCGGCTCTTCTCCCCTTCTCTCCCATTGCCTTCTTCTTACTGCTCCTCCTGCTCTTCATCCTCCCCTCCTTCTCCCTCTCGTCGCTGTCTCCCCTCTCCTCATCCGTTTACTCCCCCTCCCTCCCCTTTTTTTTTCTCCTCCTCCTCTTCCTTTGCCTCCTCCTCCTCCTTTTCCTTATCTTCCTCCCCCTCGGAGGCAGAGCAGTGATGGGAGGGCTGGCCGCATCCGTTTTGCCCCAAGCCCGCCAAGGGCAGCGACACACTTGCCTGTCGAGCACTGCGGCGCAGTGCATCCATTCTGATTCCGGAACTATTTGGCTTTTCGTACGAGGTCATGCTCAAGCTTCCTCCCCGCCTCGAGAAAGAGGAGTCGGCGTTTACATCAACTCTCGGAGTCAGCGCAGATTTGATGATCGGATCGGCGCTGACCCCCTTGGCGGCGCCTCCAGCGCCGATCCGAGGAATCCGCGCCGACATCCGGCAGTTTATGATTACGCCGATGGTTCCTTTTCGATCCTCCTCAAATAATCCACCTCTGATCCTCATGTCCCTTCTCCCTGCAACGTCCTCCTCCGCTCCTCCTCTTCCCCTGATCTGCTTACGAGGTCATGCGACATCTTCCTCTTTCTTCGCCTTCTCCTCCTCCTCCTCCTCCTCGGTTGCTGCGTTTTATTATCCCTGCTCTGCCCTCCTCCTTCCCCTAACATGCGACGTCTTGTTATTTGTTCAAAGCGCGGTTCCCGGAAGTCCCGACCCTTTCCCCATGGTCGATTTTTCATCGCGGGTCGTCTTGTGACGGGCCCGAGGCCCAGCTTGAGGCCGAAAACGGCCCAAACATTCCCGCCGTGATCTTCTCACAACCCGAGTGATGTTGCGTTCTCTTATCCTTGCCTTGTGCTCCTCTGAGATCCGATGTTGCGAAACAATGCGACATCGCAGCACAATTCACGACCAGAGCTATAGACCCAATCTTTCTGCTGCATTCTTCCAGCCAGATCGATCTGTGAGGGCCCCAGGTCTCAAAACCGGGCGAAAACGCCCAGTGAGAAATGGCTGCAACACCAGGATCTCAGGGTTCTAGGCCTCCCAAAAGAGGTCCGAGTAGATGGGGTCGGACGGTCGGACGATCGCGCCGCATCGGCGCTGCGGCTCGATGTGGAGCCCGATGTTCTCCACGCCGACGTCAGCGATGCACCGCCGACGTCGCTGCTGCATCGTCAATGTATCGGCGATGCATCGTCGATGCAGTGCGATCCTCCGACCCCACCTGCTCGGACCCCATGTGGGAGGCCTCCAAGGGTCCTCCCCCTCTTCCCCCTAAAGGAGGAAGGAGGAGGACGAGGAGAAGGAGGGAATTGGAGAAGGAGTAGGAAGAGTATGACGAGGAGGAGGAGGAGGAGGAGGAGGAGGAGGAGGAGGAGGAGGGGAGGGGGAGGGGGAGGAGAAGGAGGGGAGGAGGAGGAGGGGGGGGAGGGGGAGGGGGAGGGGGAGGAAGGAGGAGGACGGAGGAGGAAGGAGGGGGAAGGAGGGGAAGGAGGAGGAAGAGGAGAAGGAGGAGGAGGAAGAAAGAAGAGGAGGGGAGGAGAGGAGGAGGAGGAGGAGGAGGAGGAGGATCCCCCTGGCCCCCGTCTTTGCCGAGCGAGGTTGGATGCGATGGCCCGTCTTCTGCGGGCCGCGGGGATGATGCTCTTGCAGTTGGCGCTGCCCACCGGCGCCCTGATGTACCAGAGCCTATCGACGGCGGGGCGTACATGATGGGCAAACTTTCCACCACCACTGCCATATGAAGGACGGGGGAGAAGGGAGGATGAGGATGTCCTCCTCCTCCTCCTCCTGCTCCTGCTCCTCCTCCTCCTCCTCCTCCTCCTCCTCCTCCTCCTCTTCCTCCTCCTCCCCCCTCTTCCTCGTGGACGCGACGTTCAGCATGTTCAGGATCAAGAAGGCCTACCAGCGCGAGAGCGACATGGAGGAGATGTTCAAGGTCATGTTCGGGATCAGGCCGCTGGTGGACTTCAAGACGGCGCTCAGGCTCGGGCAGGCAACGCCAGAGGCCGTGGCTCAGGTACGCCAATTTCAACCAGCGCTCCTTCGAGAGGCCCTGAACCACGCGTGATTCCTGCAGAAAGGCACGATGCCGATGGGGGCAGGGCCGAAAACAGAGCTGGAGAGGGTGGTGGAGGCGCAGCTGAAGCAGCTAGTGAAACAGGGCACCCTGACGAAGAAACAGTAGTAAGGCGTAGGCACAACCAGGTCGTGATAGACAGTGCTCACGACCCGAGGCGACAGCAGATACTCAGGAGTTTGGCAGCAGGTGGCAGCGAGCATGCGACGAGGCTCTTGCATCAGGTAAGAGAATATCGCAACGAGCTGCACAATTTACTTCAGTTTGACAGTCTTAGACATGATGCAGCCCCTGGCGGCAACGGCGCACCTCCCGTCTATTGAACTATAGGGGGGAGACGGCTCAGGCCCAGGGCATCCCCTAGCTGAGCTAGGGATGGCCCCGAGCCTCCGCGGCCACCCTTTTTTTTCATACCCCGAGGGATCTTCCCCGCCGACGGGGCATCGTGCGCGGTCCTTGCACCGCCGCGTCGCCTCTTGCCGTGGCGGCCTGCTGCACCTGCAGGCGGCCCAGCCTCCATATGTAACGGAGGGGCGACCGATCAGTTGAGAGATGACAAACTGATGGCCGGCAACTGAGCACCACCACCACCACCACCACCACCCCCTCCTCCTCCTCCTCCTCCTCCTCCTCCTCTTCCTCCTCCTCCTCCCTCCTGCTCCTGCTCCTGCTCCTGCTCCTGCTCCTGCTCCTACTCCTCCTCCTCCTCCTCCTCCCTCCTCCTCCTCCTCGCTCCTCCTCCTCCTCCCTCTCTCTCCTCCTCCTCCTCCTCCTCCTCCTCCTCCTCCTCCTCCTCCTCCTCCTCCTCCTCCTCCTCCTCTCTCCTACTTATGGTAGCTGTGGTGGAAAAAAGGGCCCATCATTGCACACGCCGGTGGTCGAACACTGGTATGGGGCACCTTCTTGCTGCAAGGCTCGAGCTGTGATCCTTCTGCCCTCCTCTTTTGGGGGCATGTTGCTACCCTCTTCGTCCGACCGACGGGCATGGTGCATCGGACGGCGTCAACCTGAACTCAGGCGATCGCAAACATGGATTAAGGATGGGAAATCGCGGATTTCCGCCGCCGAACGAGGCAGCACCTTTTTCGGGAGGGCACCTCCCCCGATCCGTGGATCTGGCGACCGCGCGCCAAATCCATGGATCGCTAATCCATGCCTGCGCGCCCCCGTCGACGCTCTCCTTCAGGGCTGGGGGCGCCGCTGCTGTCGCGCGCTGTCCGGTCCGGGAGCGGGCCGTGGCCCTGCCTGCTCGTGTTCTGCACGCGCTCAGCGCCTCTCTGCGTGCACTCCGGGCCTCGCGAGGCTGCCTGCCCGACGTCCACCATCCGGGCTGTCGTTCTACTGGAACATGTCGGTCGAGTCACGGGCGAAATGTGCAAAACTCACCGCCCACCAAACCACCCCAACCCAACCCGAAGGCTCAGATTTACCCTCGATTTCTAGTGGGGGGGGGGTCCAGGAACATCGAAAAAGCACATGTGGAGCCCATACCCCCCCAACCCGAAATTCGGGTCTTCGGGTTGGGTTGGGGTGGTCTGGTAGGTAGCCAAAAACGATGGCAAAGACGGCCCCCCGGCGCTCCTCAGAACAACCGACGCGCCGACTGCCCAGACCTGCCCGCGTCGCGCAGGCATCGCACGGCGGGAGGTCCGTGGCCGTCTTTTCGGCCTCGGGGTGCCCTCGCCGGGCCTCGGGACCTTCGACGAAACCTTCGCGGGAGGAGGAGGAGGAGGAGGAGGAGGAGGAGGAGGAGGAGGAGGAGGAGGGAGGAGGAGAGGAGGAGGAGGAGGAGGAGAGGAGGAGGGGGAGGGGGAGGAGGAGGAGGAAGAAGGAAGAGGAGGACGGAGGAGGACGGAGGAGGAAAAGGAGGAGGAAGGAGGTAGGGGGAGGAGGGGGAGAGGGGGAGGAGGAGGAGGAGGAGGAGGAGGAGGAGGAGGAGGAGGAGGAGGAGGAGGAGGACGAGGACGAGGACGAGGACTGGGAAGAGGAGGAGGAGGATGGGAGGAGGAGGAGGAGAAACGGAACGGGTCAGGGTTTCCCGGGGCCGCGCCTGGGGAAAGTCCAGACAGCGCATGTCCAGGGGCGCACGGTTGCTCGCGGGTCGCGGTTCGTGCTTCCTCATCCTCGTCCTCCTCGTCCCCCCCGTCTCGTCCTCTTCCTCCTCGTCCTCATCGTCCTCCTCCTCCTCGTCCTCCTCGTCCTCCTCGTCCTCCTCCTCCTCCTTCTCCTCTTCCTCCTCCTCGTCCTCATCCTCCTCCTCCTCCTCCTCGTCCTCCCCCTCGTCCTCCTCGTCCTCCTCGTCCTCCTCGTCCTCCTCGTCCTCCTCGTCCTCCTCGTCCTCCTCGTCCTCGTTCTCCTCGTCCTCGTCCTCGCCTCTCTCCCCTCGGAGAGGGGCGGCGCGGGGGCCCGACCCTGCTGGAGCAGCTTCGCGCGAGGCGCGCAGTGCGGCGCGCTCGAGACTTCCGGGGCCCCCGCATGGAAAAAGTCACGGCGTCGGATCGCTGCGCCTTCGCGGCGCGAGGACAAAGTCATGGCGGGACCTGGGGGCCCGAGCTTCGGGCGTTGCTGCCCTTGCTGCGCGCCTGCCTCCACCTCTTCGTGGTGCGAGAGAAGTCACGCCGGGATCCCACCCTGAGACCCGGGCGTTGCTATGTTTCCGCGCCGGGCGTGGTTTCGCCCAGTTTCGGGCCCTGAGGCCATCACAGATCGGTCCGGCTCGAAGAACGCCGCAGAAACATTGGGTCTGGGCCTCCGGTCGTGATTTCACGCGATGTCGCACTTTTTCGCAGGCCTTCCGGGCCCCTCACTAGGCCCCGGGGCCGTCGAAGGACGACCCAGGGTCCAAAGCTGGGCCCGCGGGGAAGCAGACTGGCGACCCAGACATCTGGCGTCTCGACTTTTTCGTGACGGGCCCCCGACCTCTTCCACCACTTCCCTGAGACCGGTCTTCCCAGGCCCCAAGAGAGGCCGAAAACGATGAAATACCTTCGTCTCGATCCCGGGCCCCGAGAGGCCGAAAGCGATGACAGACCTCCGTCTCGATGATGTTCTCGAGACGCTGGGCCTCTTCATGGGGATCCAGGTTGTGAGGCAAAGTCCCGACGTCTGGAGGGTTTCTCCGAAGGGCTTAGGCGACCCCTCCTCCTCCTCCTCCTCCTCCTCCTCCTCTTCCTCCTCCTCCTCCTCCCTCCTCCTCCTCCATCCTCATAACCCCTCTCTTCCTCCTCCTCCTCATCATCCTCCTCCTCCTCTCCTCCTCCTCCTCATCCCCTCCTCCTCCTCCTCCTCCTCCTCCTCCCCCTCATCCCCTCCTCCTCCTCCTCTCCTCCTCCTCCTCCTCCCTCCCTCATCCTCCTCCTCTCCTCCTCTCCTACTCGCTCCTACTCGCCGGGGGGACCTTTGAGTGCGGGCCCGCAGGGGTCCACCCAGCGCTGGCCTGCACGCTCAGATCTGGCGTCCCCGCGGCCCCGGAAAGCCGCGCGCCAGAGGCCACTCTCCTGCCTGCAGAGGTCACTCTTGCGTGCCGCCGATAGGGCTCGGCAGGGAGGGCAGGCGAGGCGTTCCAGGCAGGGCCCCTGCTGGCGAGGCTCGGAGGAGCTGCCACCTCTCCCTCGGCGGGAGGCGTCGGCAGCAGCACGAAGCCGCCTCCGCTGGCGGAAGCTCAGCGGAAGCCAGCGGGAGCAAAAATCGGCCTCCTCCTCCTCTTCCTCCCCCTCCTCCTGCTCTTCTTATTTTCTCCGAATTCCTCCTCCTCCTCCTCCTCCTCCTCCTCCTCCTCCTCCTCCTCCTCCTCATCATCATCATCATCATCATCATCATCATCATCATCATCATCATCGTCTTCCTCCTCCTTGTCCTCCTCCTCCTCCTCCTCCTCCTCTTCCTCCATTCCTGTTCCTTATACATAATTTCTCCCTGTCGCACCCCGAGGCCAGTTGTTAGGGCGGGCCGGGCGTTTTGCTTGAGACTTCCTCACCATTTATGTTTCTAAACATTCAGAAGTGGCAGCAGTTTCACAGATGGAGGGCGGGTGGTCTTCAAAATGTGGTTCTCGCCTTATGGCCGCGCACATTCGTTTTAAGAATTTGCCAGAGCTTCGCGGATTGAGGGCGGGTCGTTTTCAAATTGTGGTTCTCGCCTTAGCACCGCGTACATTCGTGAAACCAGATTGCAAGAGTTTCACGGATTGAAGGCGGGTTGTTTTCAAAATGTGGTTTTCGCCTTAGCGCCTCGCAGATTCGTGAACAAAGAATGCAAGAGCTTCACGGATTGAGGGCGGGTGGTTTTCAACATGTAGCCCTCGTTTCAGCGTCGCGCACATTCGTTTTCAAAAAATACCAGAGCATCACGGTTTAAGGGCGGGTCGTTTTCAAAATGTGGTTCTCGCTTTAGCGCCGCGCACATTGGCTTTAAACATGTGCAAGAGTTTCACGCGCTCCCAGGATCAACGTACCAGAAATAGTGTTTTGGAAGGGTTCAGGATTATGCGGGTGCGACAATTATGTTGGTTCGCGGTGTTGAAGTCCTTGGACCGTCGCGACGCAGCAGTCAGGTTGATCCCTGGCGTTGAAATCCCGAGAACAATGTTTTGGCATGCTTCAAGGTCTTCAAACGGTTGTCTTCCAACGAGGCAGTTCCCTCAATGGCAATGAACGTTGAAGGGGCCTATGAAGAGGGAGCCTGGAGGGGGGTACATTCTAACATCGTTGATGACTCTTGGATTTACACTGGTCCTCCTCCTCCTCCCTCTCCTTCTCCTCCTCCTCCTCCTCCTCGTCTTCCTCCTCCTCCTCTTCCTCCTCCTCCTCCTCCTCCTCCTCCTCCTCCTCCTCCTCCTCCTCCTCCTCCTCCCCCTCCTCCTCCTCCTCCTCCTTCTCCTCCTCCTCCTCCTCGTCCTCCTCCTCCTCCTCCTCCCCCTCCTCGTCCTCCTCCTCCTCCTCCGCCTCCCGAGAGATGGCACCATGTTGGGGTTCAGGGTTTCCGGAGCCGGCCGCGTGTGGCCGGCGGCTCGGCGGGAGGGGCACGTGGCCTCATCCTGGGCTTGGGGTTGGTTCGGCCAGGGCCGCCGGAGAAGAGCAGTTGGCGCCCCTTGCGAGGTGGAGGCGCTGTCCCACTCCCCGGAGGAGAGCGCGGCGATGCGCAAGGAGGCCTTCGAGAAGGAGTTCCCCCCACCTCCTCCGGTGTTTGTTCAGGGGACCCTCCTCCTCCTCCTCCTGCTCCTGTTCCTTCTCCTCCTCCTCCTCCTCCTCCTCCTGGACTCCTCCTTCTCCTCCTCCTCCTCCTCCTACTACTCCTTCTCCTTCCCCACTTCCCTCCTCCTCCTCCGCCTCCTCCTCGTCCTCCTCCTTCTCCTCCTCCTCGTCTTTCTACTCCTTCCCCACTTCTCTCCTCTTCCTCCTCTTCTTCTTCTTCTTCTTCCTCCTCCTCCTCCTCATCTTTCTCCTCTTTCTCCTACTCCTCCTCCTTCTCCCACTCCCTCCTCCTCTCCCCCTCCTCCTCCTCACTCTAACGTCCTGTCGTCGTCGTCGTTCTCGCTAACCCCACTTACCTCATCTTCCCTACTTGTCCTCTTCTTCCTCTTTCTCCTCCTCATCCTACCCCTTGTCCTCCTCTTCTTCCTCCTCTTCTTCCTCCTCCTCCTCCTCCTCCTCCTCCTCCTCCTCCTCCTCCCCCTCCTCCCAAAGGCCCTGCTCGAGGAGGGACCCACAGATCCAGCAAAGGCCACTGCAAGGCGGCGAAGATGTTGTGGCAAGATAAAGTTCTCAGACATAATGCCATCGAGAAGGAGTTCCCCCCCTCCTTAGGTATTTGTTTAGGGGGCCCTCCTCCTCCTCCTCCTCCTCCTCCGTCTCCTCCCTCCTCTTCTGCTCCTTCTCCAATCCCTTTTCCCCCCCTCCTCTCCTCCTCCTCCCCCTCCTCCTCCTCCTCCTCCTCTTCCTCCTCCTCCTCCTCCTCCTCCTCCGCCTCCTCCGCCTCCTCCTCCCAGGCAACGGGCGTTAGCCAGTCCGGCCCATGATCGGGATGGGTCGCCGCCCCAGAGCAGTTGGGCGCGCTCCGACAAGGCCTCGGTGCCCGAGAACTGCCAGATCCCAGAGGTTTCCATTGTCATCCCACCCGACTCTGTCCCGTTTCTGCCTCCACTGTACTGTCGGGCATCGCCCTCGCCCTCCTCCTCCCCCGACGCGGCAGAGGAGTTCACCGTGCGGCTGAACGTGGCGACCGGCACGCCGCTCGGCCTCAAGCTCGACGTGGAGAGCGAGTTCCAGCCCCCGTCTCTGAAGGTGATCAGCGACGGTCTCGTGAAGGACCCCCTCTCCAGTAGTGGGTCACGGGAGCGTTCGCGCGTCTCTTGCACTGAGTGTAGAGCAGCGAGGGGCGCCCGAAAGCGTGGGCCCCGCGCCCAATAGTGCCCCACATCACCCGATAATTGGCGCTCGCTAGCCCCCAACTGGCTCCCCAATAGCGCCTCGCGTAGCGCTTGCTGTGCGAGATGCACCACGCCCGCTGCGCGCGCGTATTATTGGACGCGCGGTGGGGCGCCATGGGGACGACCAAGAGGTTCCGTGAGTGGCGTTCCAACTCTCTTCCGCCCGAGCTCGCGCCACCCATGTAAGCGTATTGTACATACTTCCTCCTCCTCCTCCTCCTCCTCCTCCTCCTCCTCCTCCTCCTCCTCCTCCTCCTCCTCCTCCTCCTCCCCCCAAACATGTGAGGCTGGCCCTGGGGCCCCAGTGCCAAATGCTGGGCCGCTCGGGGGGCGGTCGGGGGGGAGGCCCAGGACATCGCCTCGGAGGGCGAGCAGGCAGCCGCCAGGAAGCCCCCGAGAAGCCCCCGAGGAGCCCTCGAGCGGCCCCAAGAGGCCCCAACAGACCCCCAAGAAGCCCCAGAGAGGCACCCGAGAGGCATCCCGAGAGAACCCGCCAGGCACCCCACACGCCACTGACCCACGGCCCACACCGGCAGAACTTCTGATTCCGTGGAGTTCTGCCTTGCGAATGCCACGGCTTCGTTCCTTCGAGCACGGTTCACGCGACAGCTCGAGGAGACAATCGCCACCCACCACAGCCCCCGAGAGCACGCGGGCAAGTGCCAGCGATGAGACAAGACAGGCGGGCAGAACAAGCGAAGCGATTGAAATACCTTGCTTTCTTCATGTCAGTGGCACGTCCGATCTGTTTCGGGCTCAACAGGACCCCAAACGAAACTTCGGTGAATGTTATCATGTTCAAAGTTGTCTATTTTTGTTGGCCGATGCCGCTTTTGCTCGCGGTTGTGCTTGCGGCGTGGGATGCTCTTCCCGATGCCTCGGCTCATGGTTGTTGCCCCGGGTGCTTGGGCCCCTCTGTGGCGACAGCCATGCTGGCGCGTTGAACACAGGCGGCGGTCTCCAACGTAACTTGAAAAACAAGCCATCGTGCACCCTCGCCATGCGAGATGTTGTTTGGGGCGCGACGGGCCCGCTGCATGTTTGACGATCTGCTGTGTAATCGTTCCTCTCGCTATCCCATGATATCGTGCCGTCAACTGACATGTTTGCACACCAGAACGGGGCCAGGCAGCATCGCATGTCTTTTGGCATGCACGGTCTCGCAGAGGCTTGCTCCAGTCTAGCGAACTCGGAATGATCGTGCACTTGCTTCTTGTTATTATCCTTGTCCCCCTCCGCGTCCCCCTTCTCCCCCCCTTTCACTCCTCCTCAACCTACTCCTCTCGCCGCATCCTAATCATAATACTCCTCCGCCTGAGTCCGTGCGTGTGTCTCTATCTCTCTCTCTCTCTCGTGCTCGTTCTCTCTCTCTCTCTCTCTCTCCGTCTATTTCTCTCTCTCTCTCTCTCGCTCTCTCCCTCTGGGTTTTTCTTTTTGTTTCTCTCCCTCTCTCTCTCTCTTTTTACCTCTTCCTGTTCCTGTTATCATCCGATTTCTTGTTTGTCTCCATGTCCCTCTCCTCCCCCCTCCCCCTCCGAACCCGTTTCGTCCACTGGCTCCTCCTGCTCCTGAGGAGTGGAACGATGCCAATCCTGACAAAGAAGTGCTCGTCGGAGACCACATCGCGAAGGTCAACGGGCACGCCTGGCACCACAACACGAAACTCTTCGGCGAGCGCATGAAGTCGCTCTTCCAGGCCGCCGCCGCCGTCGTCGTCGTCGTCGCCGCCGTCGTCGTCGTCGTCCTCGTCGTCGTCCTCGTCGTCGTCGTCGTCCTCGTCGTCGTCCTCGTCGTCGTCGTCGTCGTCGTCGTCCTCGTCGTCGTCGTCGTCGTCGCCGTCCTCATCGTCCTCGTCGTCGTCGTCTTCCAGGCCGCGAAGAAGAACGCCTCCGGCACCGACGCGTACCTGAACATGACCATCCGCAGGCCGAGGCGCCAGGGCGCGGGGCTCCCCCCGCAGCTCCTGGACCTGCACAAGCGCCTCTACGCCAGGGACTTCGTAGCACAGCTGGCCATCGACAGCTCCAAGGCTCGCGACACGAAGTCGACTACGGTCCACCCGCACAGTAAGGGCGGGCAGCCTCCCCAGGGGTACCCTTGCATCCTTGCCTCCCCTGTGCATCCTTTGCCACTTTCGTAGGTCGCGCCCAGCTCGAAAACTTCGACATGGGCTTCCAAGGGCCTTGCACCCTTATCGCGCATCCTTACTATACGGGTTGACTGTACTCTACACGTGAGAGTGGCCTTTCGCCGCAGCGACCTCTGGTGCGGGCCCACTGTCGCCGAGCGCGTTCCACTGCTCGCAGAGTACCCACTCGCAAACGTCAGAAAGAACGCGTGCCTGCTTCGGTGCAATTTCTCGTAGGTCCCCCCTGGCGGATCCGGGCCATTTGCGGGCACTTGTTCTGCGAGTAGTGGAACGCGCTCGTCTATACACGCGAGAGTGGCCTTTGGCCAGAGTGACCTCCGGTGCGGGCCCACCTGGGGCCCCCCGGTCGCCGAACGCGAGGGGGCAGTGGCGCCCTGCGCGCTCGCGCGGGGTCCCCGCGCGGCCCCCAGAAGAAGCCGCACAGCAGAGGTCACTCTGACCCAGGGGTCGCTCCTGCGTGCAGCCGAGCAAGAGAGGCACGCGGTGAAGTCGGGCGTGTCCCTCTGCAGGAGGCATATTCAAGAACAGTCATAAAAAAACATTCCGGGGCTATGTTTGTCACTATTTCTGCGCATTTCGGGCGTATCTTTCTTTCTACTATTTAGAATCTGCCCTCCCAAACCCGCCAGTAGCGGGACAGGTCCGACCTAAGCACACGGTAGGTTTGCGCCGTGTCGACCAGCGGCGGCCCAGCCGCCGGAGTTCAATGTCGAACGCCGCAAACGACCCACGCCGATTTTGAACGAGCTGACGTTTCGGGACCGGCCGATCGTTGAAGGTGGAACGATCCTCTCGGTGTCAGAAACCAACGCCAAGACCGGCACGACACGAACCTGCCGTAAGCATAAACTTTCGACGGTCCGCGCGGAGTTCTTGAATCGGCGCTGGGCCCCCCCGGCGGCGCCTTCGGCGCCGCTCCTAGCGCGCTCCGCACGCGAGGGAGGGGGGTCTAGCGCCAGCCCAAGAAACCCGCAGGGACCGTCGGAAGTTTATGTTCATGCAGTTGTTCTTCCTCTCAAGGTGCAGCGGACGCTGGCCGATACGCTGGGTTGGAAGCTCAACGTGTCGTCCGACTACTGGGTTCCGGTGACGATCTCGGAGATCAGGCAGCCGAGCATCGTGGCGAAGTGGAACGAGGAGAACCCCGAGAGCAGCATCCTGCCCGGGGACGAGATCATGCGTGTCAACGCGGTGACGTGGCAACACAACTCGTACCTGTTCATCGAGAAGGTCGTCCGGCAGCATAACACGGGGGCCGGGGGCCTGGTATGTCCTCGTCGTGCACTGGTGTGCGCAAGCGTCTAGTGATCGATGACAAACCGCTGATTCAGCGTCGGTTGGCGTCGGTGCATCGTCGATTAGCATCGACTCGCGTCGACTCACAAGAGCCAGCAAGATGGCATGGGAGTGCCACCGGACCATCGAGAATACGGTGTGAAACGACTTCATCACTCCCAGTTCCTATCCATCCTGTCCTTTCTTTCCGGTCTTCTCCTCTCCCCCTCTCCTCTGCTGCTGCACTGCTGCTGACCGCTGCCGTTCACGGCCCTTGAGCCGCATGCCGCACGCCCCGCGGAAAACGCGTGCGCCGGGCCCTCCCCAGCGAGCCCTGCTGGGCAGTCCGCGCTCCTGGAGCTCTCGCGCCTGGAGTGCATTCGTGTCGGGCGTCCGCAAGGTGGCAGCGGAACGCGTTGCCCGCTCGGGCTTTTTCCGCGCCAGGTGCCATGGCGACCGCAAGTTTCGAAGGAAGTGGTGTCCAAGCATGTCCGCAGCTGGTTTTCAAACATCGGGGAAAACGCAAGACTCGAGCAAGCCGGAAGTCGGGCTTACGGGCGTTTTTTGACGAGCGCGCCCTGGATGCCCGGGTTTCGTGGGATGTTTGTAGCGGGGGCCCGCGTCAGATTTCAGACAGGGTCTCGCCATCTTTTTTGATGGGCCCGTCAGGCCAACACGCCTCATCCTCCTCCTCCTCCTCCGTCTCCTCCTCGTCGTCCTCCCCCCCCCCCTCCTCCTCCTCCTCCTCCTCCTCCTCCTCCTCCTCCTCCTCCTCCTCCTCCTCCTCCTCCTCCTCCTCCTCCTTTTCCTCCCCCCCCCCTCCTCCTCCGCCTCCTCCGAGCCCCCCGTGCCCGAGTCTTACGTCTCCCCGGGAAAACATGCGGGGGGCCCTGCGACGAGGATCTCGGCGCGTGGGCGTTGTCCACAGAGCTGAAACCAACGCGCGTAGGATCACCCGTAGGGCCACACAGAGGAGGCGAGGAGCACGAGGAGGGGAGGGTGGGAGGCGAGGAGAGGAGGCGAGGAGCTCGTGGAGGGAGGGAGGCGAGGCGAGGGGCGCATGAAAAGTGCGATGTGCGTCCAGCGTGTTTTTCCATCGCCAAGCAGAGCTTCTCGACGTGGCCCGGCTGCCCGCCGATCGAAGGGTCGAGACTGGAGCCATTGGTTCCCTTGTCTTTAACTGTGCGGTGTCCTTCACGTAACACAGAAACGCGAGCAAAGAAGGCGCGGCAAAAGTGCCGCGCTTCCCCCATCTGCTGAAGCACGCCAAGAACGGTGGAACATTGCAATATTGTGCATCGCGAGGCACGCCAGCGAGTTTGAGGCCGACAAGTTTATCAACCTAGGAGAACACATCAAAGCGCTCATCCTCATAGTGAACGCAGAGATGTCCCAGCAAGTCAGCAACCTGAGTGCGCGTCTGGACATGGATTGTGCCTTGACTGTCGCGAACGCACGGCATGCAATCCGGAAGGTCCTGGGGGACAACCTCTTCGGAACAAATGCCACGGACGCCGCCGACTTGTGGGCGAGCATGATTGGCCCGAGTCTCATTCGGAAGAACCGTCCTGCTTCGACCTGTCATGGCAGGAAACCGCCAGGGAAAAGGCAGCTCACGGAAAGACTAGCAAAGATGGGTGTCTGAAGCGCGGCAACTCCATCCACTGAACCGATTAGTGGCCACATCCATACAACAAAGGGAAAGAAACAACAGGCTATGCCCCCCGGGGGGGTTTCAGGCAAGGCAAGTAAGTTCAGCGGTAAACGTAGCGGAAAGCCCACACGTGGAAAAACGATAAGCTCCCAAAGCAAAGGCAAAGGCAGAGGTAGAACTTCACAGCAAACGTCGGGGAAAAACATCCACGCATTCACAGCTGATGACTCCAGCTGGTGGATGGGAAATGGCGACTGGTCAGAATATCCTCATTGGAGTCCTGGTTAAGCGAGTGGCCACGAACGCCGCCCCGACTCGGATGTCCAATTCGCTTGGTCATTCGTGGCGGGGCATTTTGGCAGCCTGCTCCAGAGAGGCAACCGCCGCGACCAACGAGCGACCGGAGGCCACCGTGCCCACCGCCGCAGCAGGCGCAGCAGCTTGAAGCCTTCAGAGCGCAACTGCTCAGCAACGAGCTCGCGCACCTCCGGTCCCTCTAGGAACAAAGTTTGCCTGAAACGTCGCGTCCGCCCCTCAAAGCTGCGGCGAGTGCGTCGTCCAGCTGCGGCGCAGATGCGGCGCCGTCGAGCCTGGGCTTCCCGGCCGATGGAATGGCGCCTGTGGAGGCGGGGCGCGCTGGACTGGCGAGCCCGAGTTCCCCGGCAGCTGGGAGAGACGCCCACTAGTGCCGAGAGCGGCATCTCCTCCAGCGTTTCCAGACCGGCGCGCCCGGGCCCGGGCTTCCCCGCAGTTGGAATCCTTTAAGCCAGCATCCGGCAGACAATAGCCGAACGGCAAATATTGTTGGATCCGGCAGTTTTTGTTTAGCATCTGGATTCGACCGAATATTCCGTCGAATCCATCGGCCCAAGATAATCTAATCAATGCGATTTCTCCAACGTGGCAAAATCAAGTGTTGATCCAGTTTTGACCCAAATTTGACTTCGGACACATCCAACGAGCGAGTTTTGACCAAGTTTTGCTTGCAACTTGCTTTTCAAGAGCCCGAGAATCAAGTTTTGATCAAGTTTTGCGTGGCACTCGACTTTTGGCAACCTTGCAAATGCTCCAACAAATAACCTAACAAACAACCGCATCACAGCCCGACAAACCATCAGGTCTGGCCAAACCGAACCCTGGGGCAAAATCTGCCGAATCCAGCAAACATTGCCGTCCATTTATTTCTAGTCTGATCGTGGCTTATGAGGGGTGGGGGATGCGCGCGGCGCGTCGCCCTGCGTTTCGCGCGGGCCGGCGCGCCTGAGCCCCCCGGCCGCTGGCGCGGTGGATTCGCGCAGTTCGCCCGCAGGCATAGGCTCATTCCGGGCAGCTCGCGCCGCGGGTTGCCCGCGCTGTCTGGCGGGCGCCAGCTGCCGCGGCCGCCCGCAGGCACGGCGCGAGCGCGCGCCCCGCGGGGGGCGCGGGGGCATGCGCGTTGCGCGCGAACCGGTCGACCTGTTCGATTCTCCGCCCCGCGCGCCGCGCTGGCGCATGGGCCAGCAGAGCGACGACTGCGAAGAGGAGCAGGGCAGCGGCGACGAATCCGACCAGGACGACAGCGACGCAGACGACGAAGACCAAAGCACCGCTGAAAGACCGCAGGACGAGCCCGACGAGGACGGGGCGACAACGACGCCAAAGACGACGGCCTCGCAGAAGACAGCCGCGCTTCCTACGCGGCAGAAGCACCGATGCTGTCGTTCGCCGCGGAGCACGGCCTGCGCGCGGACATCGCCGCCCACGTGGCCATCGTCGACCCCAGTGCCTTATCTCAGGAACCATGCCTTCAGCTTAAGACATGGTCTCTGCGAAAAGGCATCTCGCGTCCAAGCAACTCTTTGCCGCTGAATTTCCGAGTCAGCGCGCGTCCGAAAAGCTTCCAGCGACAGCGCGTCCTCTCGCTGGGCCGCGAGTTCCGCGAAAGCGTTTCTTCGCGCGCTCAATTCAAGGGCCGGCGTCGAGATCGGCAAAGCAGGCGCATGTCCTTTAGCCGCGCCGCTCTTGATGTCCAAGCCTCAACTGAAGAATCCGTGCGCAGCGGTGGATTTCGTTGCAGGCGCTTTCTTTGTCGATGGAGACGCGGCAGACGATGCCGCCGAAGGCTCGCCGCGCTGGGCACTGCCGGCGCCCGCCCCTCCCCGCGCGCCCAGACGCACTGCGCGCGGCATTTTCGACGGTCGCGAGCCCCGCCAACCAGGGAATGGCGCCTGGAAATATCGCTGCATTTGACAGCCCTGGGTCGTTACAGATCTCTATGCCATTTCGCCTGTCCATGCTGAAACGCGACTTGGCCGCCGGAGCAGGATTGGAGAGGATCTGCGATCGACTCGGCCACCTGAGCGCGGGGCACTCGCCGCGTAGAATGATTGCCCGCGCCGGGCCCCGGAACCGCCCCTGCGGCGAGAAGCCGCGCCGAGAACATCGCGAACGAGTGCAACGTGTGCTTTCCCTCTCGGAAGGCCGTTCCCCATCCCGAGACCTCTGGCGCGAGCACCAGATCGGCCAGCCAGATCACGCGCGTCGACGCACTCGAAATCAGTCAGAATTGGGCGCTCAGCAAATCGTTGTATTGTATCGCATCGTCGATAGATTCGCGATGTGGCCCCTAGCCGAGCGGGTTTCGACCAGGAGCCCCAGCGGCGCGCTTCTCGCGGCGCCCCCAAGGCGATCCGTTTCGGGAACGCTCCCGGACAACAGTCCGACTGACAGCAGCGGCGAATGCGCCGCCGACGAGGCGGCGGAATACCTGGAGCTACGCGGAGCGCGTCACTTGTGGACCCCCCCCGCATTCACGTTTCGAACGGCGTTGTTGGGGGGCGCGTCGGGGCGTTCAGCGCGATGCTTAACGAGTTAGCGCAGGCGCTCGCGAGCCAAATCGGCGCTTTGAAGCTCGCCGCCACGAATGCGTCGCTGCAGGCCCGTGCTGCTAAGGGCGCCCTGCTGCGACGACGCGAGTTTTCGCCACCGTTGCGACCGTTCCTAGCGCTGGGGAACAACCTTGTCTCTGACGCCATCGGCGAGGCAGATCCTCCGTGCTCGGAGCCCCTTCCGCGGGCCCCGCGAGCAACGCTCGGGCCAGACTCTCCCTCCGGATGGCCGCCCGGCCGGCAGCTCTCCAGATCCAGTCGCACCCTGGGCCGCGGGTTTCTGGCGCATTCTCGCCCCCAGGCGCCGGGGCCGTCGTCGATTGGATAGACGGCAAAAACTCAAAGAGAAAATTTCTGGAGAGGGCGGGAAAAGGACTGGCAACCGCGCGAGCCATGGAAGGCCGGCAGAAAGCGTGGATTCGCATGCGGATGGA